GTTTTTTCCAAATCTGTTGGAGAAATGACATACATATCTTAATTTACACATTTTTGAAACCATGAATCGATCAATGTTAGACCACCATTAGAAACCTGCAAGCACTGGACGGCCGTTTCGTCCTGGTATGGGACTCCTCAGCAGTGCGCATCCACGACTCCTGCACTCGTAATACATATCTTAATCACAAAACATCCGAAATACAATTTCCACGTCATCGGAATATTATTTTTCTATGAATGTAAACACTTCACCCAGTACTCCGTGTATTTGATATGATCAAATTAAACCATGGTAATGATGCTTACAATCCTTTTTTTTTCACTGTGTGTTTAACGAATCTACAGGATTAAACCAGTGTTACATTTGAATAGAGTTGATCGCCTTTGTAAAATGTTTTTAATACAGTTCCATAAATAAATAAACTTTTACATAAAACTGTTGATATCTATTTGTTTCTGTGTACATTATGGGTTCACGAATTTATATTGTAAGCCAGTTAGCATTATTTATCATGATAAGTAAATACATTATTGACAGTTTACTTGCATAGGTTTCATGTTTAATATTCAACCAAACTGGAATATATTGTTTTCTTATTTATACTATACTTACACCAGCAAGGCTACTGGAACCAACATCAGGGCCTCCAGAAACACGAAGCGTAAACCATATTGTTTCTCTGTGTGCACAAGGTGAAATCAAATTGATGATTTTACTCGTTTCAGAGACACAATATACATCGATCGCCCGGGATTCCAGAGTTCTAGCTAATGAAGCCTGGTGCACTATTTGACACAAGGTTCGAACATTAAAAGCTCCAATATGTCGTTTAGAGCGGGGTTTCAAGAGACCAGGAATAGCGTTTCGTCAGCTCAAACCGTTTGAATCAGCGGCGCGAGATGATAAACGAAATAAAGAAGGGTTGGTGGTGGAGATAAGATAGTTATTAGGAGGTGAAAGGATTTTATTGTGACCAATTCGGTCTCGTATGCTTTTATGTGTATGAGGGCGGTTGTCACTTCCCGGCTGCCCACACCATGGAAGGGCTCTGGTTGTCAGAAGGGATATCGTCCTCGTGACTTCTCAAAGAAACTCGGCTTTCATCATGAAACGTCATAAATCTTCTAAATGAAGACCTTCTAACTCCCAGAGCAGAGTTTAAATGGTTTGAATTTTATTTTCTTGTAAGCTTTTCTTAGCGAGTTAGTGTTTTGCCAAGTCCATACCAACCCTACTCGTTTATCCGGGCTTTGGACCGGCAGTAGCCCCGGAGGGTCTACAGGAGTAACCTTCTGCATTACTCATCACCTTTATCTTTTCCTTTTAAGTTTCTTTAACCAGATTCTACTTCTTGAATAATATCCTCGAACCTTAATCTCTCTGATTACTGCTAATACTTTGACTACCTCTACTACTATGGGATTTGAATTGAAAATTGCGTGTCTGTGTTAATGTGGTATGGTAACTTGGACTGATGTATGTACGTACGAAGTTCTTTGTTGTTCGTAACTGACTGACTGTTTTCTTATTAATAGGCAATGCATAAAATCATTCCATCATACTTTAAAGCATTTCTTGAGACTTATGAAATTAATAATTGTTGGTCAGTGTTTTTATTATTGGATAGTTAACTTTTCGGGTATTACCAGCAGATAAAAAAGTAAACAAAGTAAAACCCTGCAGACGTTCAAAATACACATAATCAATCTTTAAAATTTACTAACAATGAACATCTTAAAGAGTGTAGACTTAACAACATGTTAAGCATTTGATACTTCTGAAAGAAGACCTTCTAACTCCCCGGGGCAGAGTTACAATGGTTTGAATTGAGTTTGCTGGTTAGCGTTTTTTTGGAGAGTTAGTTTTTCATGGGGGGCCCAACCGCCCTCCTTTATCCGGTCTTGGGACCGTTAATAGCCCCAGAGGGTCTCCAGGAGGAGTTTAAGCATATATTGCCTCCGAATTTTATAAACGAAATTCAGTTACCATCATAAAAACCTTTTCACTTCCTGTCATCCTCTAATTTCTAAATCTTTTGTAATTTCATGGCCAGTTTTTCCAAGAGTTTGTTTGTTCATACCTTTGAATATTTCAACGATTATTGATCCATTCTATTCTGCTTGTAGTAGAGTGTAAACATTTCTAATAGCTTGCCCAATCTGATATTGTTTGTCTACAATAATATTAGAAATCAGGACGCTTTTATATTCCTCCTATATAAGAGTATATAGCCTGATTAGTCATTCGGACTTGTAGAGTTCTGTAAAGACAACAATAAATAACTAATCGATCTATTAAAGATAATAAATTTCAATTGAACAATAACAAATGGTATTCTGTATGCATCTGGATCTGTGATTTCACTGTAATTTAGTCAGTCATTTTAAAATTTTCATTAATGTTTCATAACCATTGAAATGCTGTGTTGGAGTCCGCGAGACGAAAGTCACCAATGGTTAGAGACCTTGAATGACATGGCTCATAATCGTTTGCAATGGCGCAGGTGCATCCACTTTTTGTGTTCTCACTAATTCTAACCTTCTGAATTCGTCAGCACCTCGACCTTTGTCTTTCCAACCTTATCTCACTGAATTATACTTCTCGAATTATATCTTTGCTCCTACTATCGCTATCACTCTTAGATTTGAACTGACATTTACGTCTCTGTGCTGATGTGGTAAAATGGCAACCTGAACTGATGTACTCATGTGCGAAGTTCTGCATTGTATCTGTATTGAAATGCTGTAGAACTACTAACTTAATGAAGAAAAAAAAAGTTAAAGGTCATGAATAACAGGCGACCGACCATTCAATACACCATGTTCCGAAATAATGCCAATTTTCCATCTGTTTTTTTTATTTCTAGAGTTCTCTCTTCATACACAACCTATCCACTGCATATATTCCCAATCAATAATACAATACATGTACAAAGCTATTGTAAACCACATCGTCCATGGCGTAAATTATATCATATTAAAAATCCAAAAAGTTCACATCTATTCAATCATGTTTATTTAGCTCCACCATCATCGGATTTGTTATGGTAAGAATGAAATACTTGTTTTAATTTCTTTTCATACATATATAATGATATTCAAACGGTAATCAATGTAGTGAAGAATACTAGTTTAAAAAGTGTAACACGCGTAATCAGCAGTCACTGAAGGGCGAAGAGGATTTAAGATCACAACACACAAGGTTAATTCAACGCCTCACACCAACAGAGAACACGAAGTCGTTGTCACGGCACTCTTTTATTTGAAAATCAAATAAGCGGGCTCTTTACAGGAATAGGGTGGGTAGTGTACCAATGTCTTATGAGTCATCCTGTCAGTTTAGAGCACTCAGGGCTTGTTCTTCAGCTTCCAAAGCGTTTGTGTATGGTCGCCCTGGAACTGAAAGAAAACAGAACGAGTTAGCAACATCATACATAGTGTTTTGACTCCGTCACACCACCCCCTCTCCTAATGAGGCACTGTCCTCAGTGCCCGGTCTCGGACAAGGATATGCTGCTCCTCCTTCAGCCGGTATCTCATAAAAACTAGTAGCAGGTGGTGGATCTGTGAACCGAGCATCAGCAGGTACTGTTGTCCGATCTGGCTTTATTTGATTGTCAGTCAAATATTGCGCTGTTATTTTTACTCAAGCGAGCTATTTAAATTGGGAAACAAGTATTTAATATTGAGCACACATTTTTGACATTACTATAGACGTACATTTTTTCTCAATTAATATTAACACTGATAAGGTATTGGCTTAATTTATCTAACTTGTAGTAGACATTCATTTAATTGTGATACCTACAATGTATAACGCATTTAGTTACCATTAGTGATCTTATATTCACATTAGAGCTTCGAGCTTTTCGCGTGTTTGTTAAAAAAAGAACTATTGATACTGGTCCATTGTAAAGAGCTTCAGAGAAGAGAATGTTCATTATCGAGTTCTGTTGTTCGATGTCAGTAGTTATCATACACACACACACTGTTGTGATTTTTCGGAGATGAGATTATGATTTGACTTCAGACAAACTGTTTTATCGATTAAAACCAGTTTGAAATTTTCCAGTCATATCTACTTTGTGATTTAAAATGCCTTTAAAAATCTTCAAAACATTTTTTCTCAAAGTGTATTCAGTGTATAACACTTTTTTTGAAAAAAATCTATAAACTTAACTATTCACAGGTTTAATATAACTTCCACAACATATCATGGTACTGAATGGTGGTTACGTGTAATTGGAATTCGTTTAGCGGTTGTTTTAGTGGCGTTCGTCTTAACATCACCTGTTTACATACTTGCTATTATAAATTTGACTGGATTATTCGATTGGTTGGGTAGAATTTCGGTAAGTGTTCGATACATATATAGATATGTGCAATACAAGAGTGCTTTAATAGTTTTTATTCACAATGTGTATATCTATTCATTTTTAATTATCTAGTTGAAATCATATTTTAAATCGTTTCTATTTGAATTTAGCATAATCAAATGTTTTTATCAATAACCCTGATTGTATTTTAATTGGTAATTTATCATACTCTTCAATGTCTGTATTATAAGTATCGAATTCAGCGGTCATTCAGTCAGTCAGTCAGTTGCAACGTAGAACTTCGTACGTAAGTACATCAGTTCATGTCGCCATACCACATCAGCACAGAGATGTGATTGTTAATTTAAATCCAATAGTAGAAGAGTTAGTAAGGGTATTAGAACTAATCGGAGAGGTTAGGATTAGAAGATATTATTCAAGAAGTATGATTAAATGAGAAAAGTTTAGCGGTTCAGCGGTCATATATACATTTGTACTATTATCCGTTTATTGTAAATAGCATCAATATCTAAGATATGTAATGTGTTTGTCCAGAGATTCTGTTTACGAAAAAAAACATCAAAGTCATTACAGTCAGTCAGTCAGTTAGAACGTAGAACTTTATACGTATGTACATCAGTTCAAGTCGCCATATTACATTAGTACAGAGACGCATTGCCAATTCAAATCCCAAAATAGTAGAGGTAATTGAAGTACTAGAGAGATTAAGGTTCAAAGATACTATTCAAAAAGTATCATCTTGTGAAATAAACTGAAAAAGAGAAAGATAAAAGTGAATCCAGAGGATTAGGATTTGAGAGAAGCCAAAGAATGGATGCACCTGCTTCATTGCAAACGGTTTTGAGTCATGTCATTTAAAGTCTCTAACCATAGATTACTATCATCTCGCGGACACCAACCAGGTAGTCTACATCTACCAACATGACTCAGTTCACTTGTCAGTGACTTCATGGATTTGTGCCAAGTTTCGGTTTAGCTGCTCTTAGGTTTCTTCCAACCTACTTCTACACCCCTAAAACAGCTTGAGGAGGCAGTCAGTGGTTGGGCATTTGTAACTGTTGGGGATGTTAGATCCCCAAAACTCGCTTGATAAATACCTTATTTTGGATTTCACGTTTGCCAGCATGGGCTGATCAGTTGACATGGAGATTTCATTTCCCACCACCAAAATCCATGGCTGTGATTGGCTGCTGTGTGTGTATTTTAGTGTGCTATTTTCGTAACTGTCCCAAGGACGTTTCTATGATGTATAAATAAACGAGAGTTGTGTGCTTGATTGTATTGTGATTGCTGGGTGTTTGTAGAATATACTTTCTACGCTTACAAAGCCTTCTGTCTTCAGCTTGGGATTCAAGGTAGCCTATCTGGACGCTGGTAATTGTCTCGTTCGCATTTATCGACTAAGGTGAACTCGTAATAGCTTCAAGCGTACCTAGTGACGAACTTATCAGTAACACATGCAAAAATTCATTAGAAGTGCCATTAGGATCAAAATGTAAATTGTGTGCATTAGTGAAATTCCCCGCAAAACTTATTATGATAGATAACCATTATGAAATAAAATGAACTAGAAAATTCTCATTAGTAAATGTGCTTCCAACCTTATGAAGTATTGAATCCATTATGTTGATACCTTTTTTGGAGTCTTTCACTTTCATTAAACTGTTCAATTAAAATCCTTCAGTTTGAATATCTTTTGATTCAGTTATAAAAAGAATCAAAAGTTCTCGTTCCTGAAAACGCCTTAATTGAATGGAATTAAATTTCCGAAATTCTTTGCTCATTGATAGAAAACTAGTTATTGCAACTAAGTGTTGCGATTAATTATATTTGCAGAAATTACTTACTTACGCCTGTTACCCCAAATGGAGCATAGGCCGCCCACCAGTTTTCTCCAACCTACTCTGTCCTGGGCTTCTCTCTCCAGTTCTGTCCAATGTTTGTTCATTCCTCTCATATAATTCTCTATTTCTCGGCGTAGTGTGTTCCTTGGCCTTCCTCTTTTCCTTTTGCCTTGAGGGTTCCATGTGAGGGCTTGTCTCGTGACGCAGTTGGGTGCTTTTCGTAGTGTCTGTCCCATCCACTTCCACCGCTTCTTCCTGATTTCCTCCTCCACTGGAATCTGGTTTGTTCTCTCCCACAGTAGGTTGTTGTTGATGGTGTCTGGCCAACAGATCTGAAGTAGTTTGCGTAGACAACTATTAATAAACACTTGTATCTTATGGATGATAGCTTTGGTAGTTCTCCAAGTTTCCGCTCCATACAAGTAGAACTGTCTTGACATTTGTATTGAAAATCCTGATTTTAATTTTGGTTGAAAGTTGTTTGGAGTTGCAGATATTTTTCAACTACAGAAATTATTCATTTGAAATTATGTTTTATTCATTATTTCTTGTATTACTGTTAGACTTTACGTACAAAAATTTTCTTTTTAGCGTCCGTTTATTTTTAGATGGTTTCCAGCAGCAATTTTAGCCGGTGTATCAGTACTACTGACACGTTTAGTAATTATCAGTGAATATTGGACAAGACATAAAACACGTGGAGGTTTAGAAAGTGTTATTTATCGTAATGCTTATTGGTTCTTACTTTTCACTGTGTTGTTATTACCGTCTCTTGGTATAACAGGGTATGTTGGATTTTTTTTTGTGCTAGCCAGTTAATTATCTGTTTAGCCTTGATCGACATTCAGACATTATAGAGGATGAACTGTATAGTTTTTGTTTCAAAATTCCAAGAATGCTAGTTCGTTAAGAGAATAACAAAAAAAAAATCATAATGTGATATTTTTTTTAACAAATAACATTGGCTTAATTTTCATTTTTTTATTCTATGAACCAGATTGATACGTGATTGTTACGGTTAATGATAGATTTTTTACTGTTGCTTAAACACAATTCAATTAACTGCATAATTCATTTGATTAATTAAAAATTTTGTGGTATTTTTGTATGACAAACTAAATAATTGTGTTTTGTTTTGAGTAGTCTTTAAAAATGTGAACCTATTTATTTGGTGGTTTATTTAATTTACTGAGATTTATAAAAATGAAGTCAAAAATATCTGTAGATATTATTGCAGATAACCTCGCATAAAAGTCCTTCATATATATAGACACTGTCTAGTGCATGCTATTTGTTAAGAGATGTACATTCTTAAGTAATGATATATATATTTGTAACCATGAATCGATCAATGTTAGACCACCATTAAAAACCTGGAAGCACTGAAAGACGGCCGTTTCGTCCTGGTATGGGACTCATTAGCAGTGTGCATTCACGACTCCTGCACCCCGCAGGATTCGAGCCCAGGACCTTCGGTATTGTGCGCGAACGCCCTAACCGTTAGACCAATGAAGTCCAAACCTGTCCGGATGTATACAGGGTATGAGATTGCGCAACTCCGTGAATTTGATCAAATTAGACATTAACACCGTTAGATACCGGCTCAGTGGTCTAACGGTTAATGAGTCCCATACCAGGACGAAACGGCCGTCCAGTGCTTCCAGGTTTCTAGTGGGGGGTCTAACATTGATCGATTCATGGTTACAAATTAAAACTTAACATTCTTCACAACAACCCCGCAATGCAATTATATATATGAAAATACTGTCTATTTAATCGATTAATGGAGAAATGCTGACAGCATACACACATATATTTAACAAATAAACAAAATCATTTCTGTTCAAACAGCATTAATTAATATTCCATATATTAATGTGTTTTTTAATTTTCCAGTTTCCCAGCTCTATTTCATCAGCTTATCACCACTGAAGTGAATCATACCAATCCATTTGCTTTTTATGTACCATTTCAAATTGAATGTATATTTTTACCAGATAGTGGTGCATTATTTATCAATTATGTCATCACATGTGCCCTACTTGGCACAGGTTTACAAATTCTACGTTTGGGGCATATTTTTCGAAATTTCTTTAGACGATATTGTTCTGCTCATACTATGGCAGAAAGAAAAGTTTTCTCTGAAGTAATTGATTTTTTATTATTGATCTGTTTGTTTGAAGCCTATACTTATGCATGATGTCATATATATATATATATATATATATATATATATATATATCAGTCGAAGTTTTTCACTAGAAATGGTTATAAATGATTTCTTGCGATACATCACTTCATTCAAATCTCTCTGAAATGAACTGGTAGGTACTGACATGAAATCGAGATGGTTCTTTTTGTTGACAACTAAATGATCTTACTAGGATCCTGCGGCTCAGCATACATCGGTAGCGCGAGATTCTAAAGTCCTAGCTAAGGAAGCCTGTTGTCCTATTTTTTTTAAAAGATCCGGACTTTGAAAGCTCCAACGTGTAGTTTGCAGCGTGGTCTCGGGAGACCAGGAATAACTTTTCGTGTACTCAAATCGTTTGTATCAGCAGTGCGAGGCGATAAAGGAGTAGTCATGGAGATCAGAAAGTCATCAAGAGATGTAAGAAGGATTTGATTGTTACCAATATGGTCTCGTGTGCTGTTACAGGTATGACGGTGGGTCTTACTTCCAGGCTGCCCACATAATCGAAGGGCATTTCTTGAGGAACCTGAAAAAGAAGTTGGATTAGCGTTGATATTAGCGACCTGGGAACGTGACTGCAGAGCCCAATGGACAACCGCTTCGGGTTGATCTCGTACGGCTTTTTTAATGGGAAGTTTTTGACGAGTTAGCTCCGTTCTTCACAAGGCCTCACTACAGGAGACAGAAACCTGCGTAATATGTTGAGGTGCGACAATTTTAGGATCGAACTTTTCTAACCCCTTCCTTCTTTGTGAGAAGGTAGGATCGCAGCAGATGCTGGTTGTCAAAGGGTAACACCTTACTACTGTCAGATCGCTCTAAAGTCAACAGTACGACTTCGTCCTCAGACCTTGAGTTGCTGCTTTTATTTGTACAGTTCTCCAATCGACCTGCCTGTCACGGTATAATCTGAGGGATCATATGTTCCAGCCAATATAGCTCGCTTCAGTCATCACGACAGACAAGCTGGACTACTACATCAAGGCAGCAGCTGCGGTAGGGGTGTGTTGGAATAGGTTTTTTTAAAAATGAAATAATATCTTTAATCATTTGCGTTCAATATTAATAATCTTCGCCTCTGTATAATAATCGTCGTCAGGTCCCAAATTAATATAGTGCATTATCAGAAAGCTATCATGGTGTTTTTTCACCGTCTTTATTTATGATCATAACGCGACAAAACTTTTGATTACTACTTAGTTCGTGATGTCTTCAGCCTTTTTTTATTATGACTTAACTTACAAAAATTTTCTGAAATCTTGATTATACTTGTCACTTATCTTGGGAGCCTGGTGTCTGACGAAATCTCAGCACGGATACAGAAGGCTCGACTGGCGTTTGCTAACCTGCTTCATTGACGGTGTAGGAAACACATCCGTCTACTAACCAAAAGACAAGTCTACTACGCAGCAGTTCTCAGCTTCTTACTATACGAGTGTAAAACATGGCCAGAAGAGTAGAGGATATTCGTAGGTTACTAGTATTCAATCATAGATGTTTTCGAAACATTGCTCCTATATCCTCGGACAATTGAGTAAGGAAACGGGTACTAGGTAAGGATGGTAGATCAATTGATGAAGTAGTGAATCTTCAACAGTTGATGTGGTTGGAATATTTGTAAAGTATGCCCAAGCATTGACCGCTCCGACAAGCAATGTTGTCTGATGTAGGGGTAGGCTGGAAAAAAGCTAGGGTTGGTCAAACCAAAATATAGAACAAATCGATGAAGTTACTGAGTTTGAATTACATTATTTACGATGGCGTAAATGCATTCACTTCTTGTGTTTTCTCAAATTCTAATCTTCTGAATTCTTCACGACCTTTCCCATCTTTTTAAAATTTATTTTACTGAATTATACTCCTTTAATGACATCTTCAAACCCTAATTTTCTCCATTACCGATAATACTTCTACTAACTCTATTACTATTGGATCTGAATTGACAATTCGATCTCTCTGCCAGTGTGGTATGTCAACCTGAACTTATGTACGTAAGTACCGAGTTCTACGTTGTATTCTGATTGACTGATTATACTTGTTCATTAGGACACTATCATGAAAAAGTTACACTAATCAAACAACTCTTTCTACGACTTAGATTTAAAAAAAACTGTTGAACAACTGATCATTGGTTCAGCATATCTTTTCTATTCTATTGTTGTTTCTATTGATAATTCACGACCTAGTCATGTGTGTTTCGCATGATCTGTGTCAACTCCCTTTTGATTGGCTTATTGTTGCAATTATATTAAAATCTGGATCATTTCTAGTAATGCTTTGAACATTTTCTAAGTTTATTTAGTATTGAATGGATTATGTTACCTCATGGTATTTGTTTAATCAATAACTACATAGATTTTGGTCTAGTTGGATTAGGTTTTTATTGATCATCTATACTTATCCGGTTATTCAAGGTGAATTAAGATGATATAAGTACAGAATTTATGTATGAAAAGTTGAAAGCTAAGTATATTTCTTCCATAAACTCATAACATTAATGTTAAACACTAAATTTTAGTGTCTTCTAAACTTTGTAGGATTTGATTTGCCTACAGATGAATTTCTTGAATAAGTCTGTATACTGTCTCATACAGTCTTAGCAGAAGGGGCTCTAGTCAAAACAGTTAATTATGTATATCTGGTCAACACTTATAATCTGTTTCTCAAATGTAGATTAATTCAATTAGTTCAAGCCTAGAAAGTAGCAGTCAATGGCAAAGAGAACAACCACACATACTGGGCAATAACAAGGAGGGATACAACAAAATCAACAACAAATCAACAATATGCTAGTCACGTTATATATAACTGATACAATTTCATGATTCCCATTGTGAAAATTAGAACCGCGGATATAAGCGAACAATATTGTTTTCGATTAGATCGTCATCAGGCTTTACTCTAATATACATGAATATTTATATGAAAATGTTAAACCAATCAAGGCAATTTATGAGTCAATATTCATCACAATGAAATGAAATAGATTACGTCACTACACATAAAAATAGGTAAAAGTACAAGTTGATAGTAGGAAGACAGGTGTACTGATAGTACTAAGACAAATAAAATACGATAACAAAAGTTTTATCAATAGTAGGTCACATGTGCATAAATAGATTTAAAATAACCATTACAAAACATTAAAACCATTACGTAATAAGAAGTGTATACATAATTAGATAGTGAAGAATATAAACGGGAAGAGACAGAAAATTACAAACAAATGCAGGATGTGAAAATAATGCTAGTAATAACATAATAAAATTTTAAAAAAATTAATAAACGTTGGTTAAGTGATATCCAGCTACGGAAGAGATAGGAGTGTCATGAATTCCTTCTGAACACATAAATTGGCGTTCAATGTACGAATTCTTATGATTTATGCTATGTGTAGGAGGCACACCTGTACACTTGTCTTCCTACTATCAACTTGTACTTTTGCCTAGTATGTGTAGTGACGTAATCTATCTCATTTCAATATGATTATTGACTCAAATTGCCTTGATCGGTTCAACATTTTCATATGAATATTCATGTGTATTAGGATAAAGCTTGACGACGATCCATTCGAAAACAATATTGTTCATTTGTCAGGGTTTTTGACTCTTTTCGATTTTGAGATCAACAAATTCTAATGCCTTACTCTGTTTGTAAAAAAAATTCCTTGATGATAATACATATATATTTTCTCTCTCTCTTTCTCTTTTTGTACTATGCATAAACTAGCCTCAACCGGAAGCATTTGCATTTGGAGAAAACTATGCATTTCTGTCAGTTGTTCATACAGTGATTATTGCTTATACACCAGTGTGTCCAATCATCTATATATTTGGTTTGCTATACTTTCTATTTAGATATTTGGTTGATAAATATATGCTTGTATGGATTTATAGTCCATTACAATCAGATATCAGTGGATGGACTGAAATGTTAGTTTTACTAGTTGATTATATTGTGTTAGTGTGGTTATGTTTTTTACTAATGAAACTTTATCACTAGATCAATCAGAGTTAGACATTAACACCGGTGGATTCCGCCCAGTGGTCTAACGGTTAGGGTGTTCGCCTACAATGCCAAAGGTCCCGGGTTCGAATCCTGCGAGGAGCAGGAGTCGTGGATGCGCACTACCACTGATGAGTCCCATACCAGGACGAAACGGCCGTCCAGTGCTTCCAGGTTTCTAATGGTGGTCTAACAATCATTGACTGATGATTTCAAATGTGTTAATAACTTATGTTTTGTATCGGTTACAAATTATTTACAATATATAGAAATGAGTAAAATTTCTTTTGTTTCTTTCGATATTATTATTATTATTATGTAAATTTAAACGAAAGTGTATATTCATTTGATTTATTAGCATGAACTCTACTAGTTAATGTTAATATTGTGGTGTACATAATCTATTTTTTTTTAAAGCTCATTATGAATGAAGGTAAATTGTATAGTTTTAGTAATTTTAAAAGTTACATAAAACAACAATTATTAAAGAGAACAATGGGGTTTTTTGGAAAACTTTTTCATCTAGGCCTACAATGATAAAAATGTAAATTATTTTATAATGATAAAAATAATATTTTCAAGTTGAATTAACGAGCTTTGTAAATTAAAATTGGACAACTTTATGTCGATTAGGTCTGAACCTACTTATTTACTTACTTACACCTGTTGCCCCCCAATCGAGCATAGGCCGTCGACTAGTATTCTCCAACCTACTCTGTCCTGAGCCTTCCTTTCCAGTTCTGTCCAATCGTTAGTCAATCTTGACATGTCTGCCTCCATTTCTTGGCGTAATGTGCACTTTGGTCTTCCTCTTTTTCTTTTACCCTGAGGGTTCCAGGTGAGGGCTTGTCTTGTGACGCAGTTGGGTGGTTTCCGCAATGTGTGTCCTATCCACCTTCAGCGCTTCTTACTGATTTCTCCCTTCACTGGAATCTGGTTCGTTCTCTCTAACAGTAGGTTATTGCTGATGGTGTCTGTCCAAAGGATCCGAAGTATTTTGCGTAGACACCTGTTAATAAACACTTGTATCTTGTGGATGATGGCTTTCATAGTTCTCCAATTTTCCGCCCTATACAGTAGAACTATCTTGACATTTGTATTGAAAATTGTGACCATGGTGTTGGTTGATAGTTGTTTTGAGTTACATATGTTGTTCAGTTGTAAAAATGCAGCCCTTACTTTGCCGATCCGCGCCTTCACATCTATATCAGGTCCACCTCGTTGATGATGCTGCCCAGATATGTAAACATATTTACGTCCTCTAAGGCATTTCGATCAAGTGTGACTTGGTTGGTGCATGTTGTGTTATATCAGAGAATCTTGCTTTTCCCTTTGTGCATGTTTAGACCTGAGGTCTGAACTACTGTAAATTATTAACAATTTTGAGTAAAGATCGTCCGTAGAATTATGTGCCTTAAAGTGATCAGTCAATTAAAAGTCTGTACAAAAACCGGAAGGAAATAGTTTGGCATAGTTTTTATGATAACAGTAGTGACTTAAAAAATTATTATTGCTTAGAATATCATGCTGAATGAGAGAAAGAAGTGTAAAATTGAGCATCAAAATAATAACTGTATATCATCTTATAAATATTACCAGATTTTCCTGTGTGAGTTAAAAAAAAACAAGTTTGTTTGTATTCCACACTGACTATTAATTATTTAACATTGAATAGTTAACTACTTCAATTCCGTATCCATTCAATCAATAGACCATTTCGTATTACTTAATCAGTCCCGACCGTAGCTGTTACCTTGACGTGGTGGTTGGGCTTGCCTATCGTCATGACCCAGCCGAACTATACTGGCTGGAACATATGTTCCTGAAGGTTCTACCATGCCAGGCAGGTCGATTGGAGAACGTTGAGACTACAAGCAGCTACTCAAGGTCTGAGGGCGAAGTCGTACTGCTGACTGCAGAGAGGTGTGACAGTAGTAAGGTATTTCCCTCGGACAACCAGCATCTGCAGTGATACTAATGTGGTAGAGCAACCTGAACTTATGTACGTACGTACGAAATTCTGCGTTGCAACTGACTGACTGATTACGCAATCAGTTAGAGTCATTTATGCGCACTATAGAATCTGACACATATACATCGATTTGGGTTGTTGTTCCACATTAGCTCAATCAGGTATAATTATTTCAAGACAAGTAAAAATAGTGTTAGTATCAGTAATGATAGAGAAGATTAGGTGTAGAAAAACTAGACTCAGGTTTTGAAAAAGGACAAGGCGTGAATGAATATATCTGCTCCATAACGAACAATTCTAAGCCATGTCGCTCAGTCGCTAACCATTGGTTGCAATAATTACACAAACTTTAACTAAGTAGTCTACACCTATTTAAATGCTTCAGTCTAATTGTCACTGACTTCGTAGATTAACGCCATATCCTGATTTTTTATAACCTACTCCTACACCAGACTGTGTCGCCCGTCGATGTAGGCAATCGTTGAACATGCTTAATACATCCTAACCACCTTATTAGACAAGAATTCAATACCTCATCTACTGATTTATCCTCATCATCTAGGACCCTATAGTTCACCTCAACATTGCTGACTCCTTTGTCCCACAATACTCTATCACTACCCCAAAGATATCTGCAATCGAATCTTAGTATCGACGAATATCATCTATTCCTAATGACGAATTTTTCACAGCCATGATGTATAATGAACCGAACTGTTGCTCAATAAACTCATTCTTTGGTTAGTGGACAGATACCACAATTGACATGTGCTGGCACAGGCCATATCATAGAACTGAACAGAGACTGAGGTATTTAGATTTAAACATCGATTATCTAGTTGTTTAAACTTGTTAATAAAAATTAAACCATATCTTTATTGTCTATTATTCATCAAATATTATGGTTACTAAAAGATCTGTTGGCTATGTAAAAGCACTTGTTGACAATGTTAGTTTAAGGCATATATCATGTCTAGTCTTCGTAATTCCTAGTTAAAACTTAAGGTAACACTCTTGATATCCGAATTTATACTGAAAAACAAAGAATCATCGATAATCACTTGTATAACTGTGGTCTAAGCACGGGTAACGTTAACTTCTACTGTATCTAGTACGTAACATTACCAATCACTAGGGTACGATATAGTGTATTTTTAATATCAAATCCACTCCCTGACCATTGCAGTAGGTTAACCAGCCTGAGTTCGGTTGTTACCCAACAACCAACTCATGTAAATAACCCAGTGTTAGTAGTACAATTTCTGAAAACCGCCTGACACATAATAAATGTCAGTCACAAATGAATGGTGTTCCTTCGGAATTTCGAAGATATGCAGTGTTTATGTGTCTCATTTCGCATAAAACTGTGGCAGATATGTTTTTGCTATGTTTTCCATTGTATGTTAATGATGGCTATATGACACTCTTTAATCGATAAAACTTGATTCGTTATAAAAATTATTCCCTAGAGTTACTTGGATATTGTGAAATGCATTTTATTTTTAATTTTATCTGATTTCTTTACTTACTTGTTCTTATTTTTTTTTTTATTGCAGAGATAGAAAAAATTATCAATATATTTATCATTTAAAATGGTTTCTTCAAGCAACTCGATTTAGTTTAGCTGGAGTTTGTATAGCATGTATCAATGTGTTTGCTTTCTATTCGTTACGATGGTCTTCTGCAGAATTACGTCCATTGATCATTGCCTATTTTGTTTTGACTGTAACTACAGCAGTGATATCTGTGATACTTTCTACTTTTGTCAAATATTATTTATCATCTCTTGTATGCCCTAGTTCTGTATGCAGCAAGGATTCCAGTCATTATCGTAAATTACTTGAAGTAAGACTTTTATACTGATTAGTGTTGCCTTCATAGAGTATTATTTGATCATGAACTATGGTCACATTATTTTTTTTCTTAAAAATGGGTGAAACAATGTCACAGTTGACTGAGGTACTTTTGTTTAACTAGACGTGGAATAATTACGGACTCTTTGTTGTAAGGATAAGCAAAATTCGTTATTATAAATCAATTGACATTGCTTCTTCAGCTGTTCCACAATGTGATAACCATTTTACTATTGATTAACTCTTCCATTATTGATTCTAAATGTTTCTTATTATTTTTACTTGACAACTAGGCGACGTATGTATTTCTCCTTCTTGATAAGCAATTGTTTCACTTTTCTTTTGATCTCCAATCAACTGGGATATGATTTTAATTGACATCACCTCAACAATCCGTATGATTTATCCAATAAACAAAATATACTATATACTTGTTAAGTGATTTAGTTTGATGACATATCACTTGTTTTTACACATTTGAAATCATCAGTCAATGATTGTTAAATCACCATTAGAAACCTGGAAGCACTGAAAGACGGCCGTTTCGTCCTGGTATGGGACTCATCAGCAGTGCACATCCACGACTCCTTCACCTTATAGGACTTGAACCCGGGACTTCCGGTCTTGTCAGCGAACGCCTAACCTCTGGACCACTGGGCCGGCATCCAACGTTGTTAGTGTCTAAGTCTGATTGATCTAGGGATTTTGTGCGACCTCACTCATTTGCCTTTGGTGGTTACTGCCTACACCCTACAGGAGTCGTTGATGCGCACTGCTGATGAGCCCCGTACGAGGACGAAACGGCCGTCCAGTGCTTCCAGGTTTCTGATAGTGGTCTAACAATGATTGATGGATGATTTCAAATGTGTAAAAACACTAATCTCCATAACTCTAATTGAAAATGTCACTTGTTGTATAAAGTGAACATGAGCTTATTAACGGTAAACAAGCTAGTCTCAATTATTTTATAATGTATTGAAGCTGTCTGGAATATAAATAAAGGGTTAATAATAAATTTATTAAAGTAAAACCATACAAAAACACTATTATTCCCATGACCACATTTTTATATGTGCTAAGCATAAGTATTTGTTCTTATTTTGTTTAGCGCATTTCCCTTAGAAATCTTGTTAGTGATATTTTTCGTCATACACTTTAAAGATTTGCTTCCTATCATTTTGCAGCCAGTTTGGTATTTTACTCTTATTTTCTTTTCTAAAACTTCTCCGATCTAGATTTTTAATTCTAGTCTATTTTGATATGACTGAAGTATCAAATTATTTCTGAATAAATTATTTTTTATTATATTTATTTTTAGGACAAAACAATCTCTAGTGCAGTTATATGCACTTGCCCTAAATTATACCTTGATACTTCTGAAATTGAAAAAGAATACACAGTTCCTGTTTTACGTAAATTCAAACTGTGACCAGTTTCATGTTGATCAAAGTACATTTTCGGGAAAATCTCATGAACAATAATGTTTGATTTTGATTTAAATTCCAATTGTTACTTTCATAACAGACTACCTACTAACTTCATTGTTATATGTTTCATATTTTATTTTTGAATATTATTTGTCCATATTGAACATGGAGGAATCAATGAACTTTATCAAATCTGGATAAATGTAGAACAATAATTTCGATTATCACTATTATTATTTATTCATTCATTCTTACTGCTGTTAAAATGGCATTTGTTTTTGACAGTAAAAGTAAGAGGCAGCTGAATGGTAGACTTTATTACTTGTTTCATCCTTAACCTTTTAATCAATATCATGTGAAAAAAAAATACAAAATATGAGTCAAAGCTACGTAAGCTTCAGAAACCGAAATTCAACTGTAATTCCTTATTGTTCCGTCACTAGTAGGTTTCTTTCTTCTCCACCAAGTATACCAGACTACATCACACTATTAAGTGAGAAAACACTTTTTTTACATTTATATACATAACTGCAGTCAGTGGAAACGTAGGCAGAGGCAACGGTGATCGTCTCTTTATTTACGAGACCTTACTGTCCCGATCAGTCGACCAGTACCTAGGCGACTATCTACAATGATCCAGTCTGAGGGAGATAGTTCCGCCCTAGAACTTAATACCATATCTACCCCATAGGAGCCACGGAAAGTGGTAGCGAGGCTTCTAAATAAACGGAGTGGTGACCGAGTTTGTTCTTTATCTGGACAAGATAAAGTCAAATTAGTGATTTTACTCAGATCCTGTACGCGCGTTTCGCAGACGTAGTATACGTCGGTGGCACGAGATTCGAGGGTGCTAGGTAGGATAGCCTGTTGTCCAGACATTGAAAGCTGCAACATGAAGTTTTGAGCGTGGTTTTAGGAGACAAGGAATAGAGTGTCGCATACTCGGATCGCTTGTATCAGCGGCGTGAGGTGGCAAAGGAATGAAAAAACAGTTGGTTGTGGAGATAGGAGAGGTGTAGGAATAATTTGATTGTGGCCATTATGGTCTCGTGTGCCGTTACGTGTCTGGCGTGGATGCCACTTCTCGGCTTCCCACACCGTCGAAGCGTGTTTCGTGAGAAACCTGAAAAGGAAGTTGGATTAGCATTGGTCTTAGAGATCTGGGAACGTGACTGCAGAGCTCAACGGACAACCACTTGGGGTTGATCGTGTATGGCTCTTTTAATGATTAGTTTTTGACGAGTTAGCTCCGTTCTTCACAAGGCCTCACTACAGGAGACGGAAACCTGCGTAGTATGTTGAGGTGCGACAATTTTAGGATTGACCTTTTTCTAACCCCTTCCTTTCCTGTGAAAAGTCAAAGAGTAACACCTTATTGCTATGAGATCGCTCTAAAGTCAGCAGTACGATTTCGTCTCCTGACCTTGAGTTGCTGCTTTTATTTGTACTGTTCTCCAATCGACCTGTCTGGCGTGGTAGAACCTATAGAAATATATGTTCCAGCCAATATAGCTCGGTTTGGTCATCACGATAGGCAAGCCCGACTACTACTTGAAGGTAATGGCTACTCCAGAATCGGATAGTTTTATACCACTACGTCAAGGTAGCGGTTACGGTCGGGTATTGATATTACACAAGTTGTTAGTAGGTGTTTTTCATTAGAATCATGAATCACTCATCGTTAGATCAGTGTCAGAAACCTGGAAGCACTGACGGTTGTTTCGTCCTCGTATGGGACTCCTCAGCAGTGGCATCCACAACTCTCGCTGGCGAGAATATAGCCCAATATATTCAATTTGGCGTGCGAACACAACTTCTAGACCACAGAGCCTTCTTCCAAAGGTGTTGATTTCAATCTCCGATCAATCTAAGGTTTTGCTGAATATCACCCTTTGTCTTCTGTAGTTACTGCATACAACAACGCATGAGACCTAAGACCCTGGGTTCGATTCTCGAGAGCTGGATCGTGGATGCGCATTACTAAAGATTCCCACTCTAGAACGAGGTCACCTTCCAGTGTTTCTAACTTTTTATTATTGATCTAAGGATAACTGATTCATGATTTTAATGAAGAAAAACAATAATCTCAATAACTCACTAATGAGTAAACATCTAGTTCTATGAGTATGCTGTCGCTTTCTTAAACTTAAAGCTTGTAGATTTGAACACGATAAACTCAATGAACTTGTTCTTGATTCCTCTATTTTCAATAATCGTGATGCTCTGTTTGTATTTAGGTTAGAGAGGTGAATTATAAGCAAACTGCGAATGTTTTAAACTAGAGTTATCATCCACTGAATGTCTTATTTAAATTGTGTTAGAAAAGAAAGTTCAGCTGGTTTACAAGATGATGATAATGCTATTGATATGAAATTTTATCCTAGCTTATGTATTTCTAGCGATCTTAAACCTTCAGTAATATTTCATTCAGAAACCGGTGTTGATTTCTATCCATGAAATCGTACTCATTCCAAAAAGGCATCCTCACTTTATGTGAATCTTGTTTAGTCTGTGTTCATCAGGTTAAATTAGCTGGTTTAAAGTATTATAGCAGCGCTACTTTTGTCAGACTGTTCTGGAGTATATATTACTTGTTTTAGATCTTCAGAAAGAAGTAAAGACAAAGAACTGACGCATTTATAACAAATGGTGTTGTGTTAAAAATATCAAATCTTACGTTGTGCATATAAGATGAAGTGATACCGAGCTACAACTTTGCCTACCATGAATTATTACACTCACTATAAGTGCTAGTTTATATGAAGCTAATGGTGTGACAAAGACCAAAATATTGGTTTATTTATAGCAATAACATGATAGAAAGACGGTTGTTTAGTCTATAAATATTAAAGGTTTATGTTTCTAAAGCTTTAACCTTATGGTTCGTCATTGCATGTCAAATATTACTAAGAATCATGTGCATGGCTTCGATCATACCACTAGTGATTTGGTCAAAATATCTAGATATCTGGCTAGAAACCTGTGGTGTCATATATTATCTACATACAAATCAACTAATATTAATTAGGCGAACATAACTGAGCTCATAACAGTTCTTGTTCAACATGTTTTCGTCCAATAAAGATGTCACTGTAACCTATTCATGAATTCCATGACCTTATCAATCATTTATTAATAGTATTTGCTGGTATACATTTGCGTATATACTAACGTCTCTTCCCCTTACCCACCGCTAATTGACATTCTATCTATTTTATATATATACCGTGATCCATGCTCAAATATGTTAAGTAGCGGTAATGCTTTTCTCTGAACATTACTGAATGTTTGTTCATTGGGATACCTGGGATATACCTATCCGAAAACACTTTTCTGTTTTAATTTAGTCTGAGTTGTATTAATGTGGTTAGTCGGCAGCAATTATATGAAGTTTCTCCGAGTACCACAGACAATTAACACGTGAGTTCAGCGGGTACGCTGTACCTAATATATTTGTAATTATTCAGCACTTTACAACAATTTAAAAAGGTAATCCTTAGACGTGAAACCCAACTAATCTACAAGAGCTAGACCAGACCTTCCACAATGTGGAATTACAATACTGCTGGGTAACAGAAATATAGCTATATTTGAGAAATTTGACAGCCTTCTTAGACAACTCTTGTTACCCAAGCTTCTCTGAGAGGTGAAATTCATGATATTTTTATTCTAAAAAGGCGCACTAGACGAAATCTGTTTTTGCTGATTCAATGTTTCAGCTTGCTAGGACCTCTAGCAATGAGGTTTCTTCTGTTAATCTATAGCCCGCATTAGTGTTGGTAGCAAAACAACTATAGCATATCTTCCGAAACGTGTGGGGAACCTTTCAGTTTCTGTAGTCAAAAATCTTCTCTCACAAAAATTCCAGGAAACTTTTCCATCGGCAAGCTTTAACGAAAACCGTAACGGGTTGACAAAGCCGTCGTTTTATTGACACTCAATGAGTGTTCACGCCAACCCATTTAAAGGATTTTCGCCGTGGCATTCATTCCGATATTAAATCATTGGTATAGACTTGCTACAACACCATAACCCACTTTTCGACGAAGCAAATGGTCAGCAGACGATAACACAAATTTATATGTTTGTGAGGTTTCTCGGTTAAACACATAATCGACCATTTCTATCAACTGGTACCCGACAAATACCTGAAACTGTACCAGACACTACTGCAGTTACATGTTTAAGCAGCAATGTTATACATCACATCACATCCACGGGATCACCTGTATTCCCAAAGACACGCTGGCTAGTTCACAAGAAACTAAGAATGATCAAAAATTAATTCGACCTCATGATCTCTGCTGCATGTAGTCTTTAAAAAGGCCAGCAATTATCGGCATCCATCCAGTAAAACCACACTTGGCCATCACCAATTATCTATTATGCACGACTTGACAGTTACCTTGAAAGTTGCAGCTGTCAACCCTTATAACTTTGAAAGCCATTCCCGAAATGGCTGCCATCAATAATTTCGGATTCTATGAATTGTCGAGTATTCCTCTCAGTTTGAGAAACACTGGTCAAACTTTCCAGAGTTTGGTTCAGTGACGTTTACGGAGGTCTCACCTTTGTTGACCCTTGTATTGTCGACCACTTAACTTCATATCCATACTTGAAATCTCAGTTCTGCAATGTGGACCATTTTTTTTAAACGACTCACTGTAAAGATTTACTCACATACTTACTTACGCCTGTTACCCCCAATGGAGCATAGGCCGCTCACCAGTTTTCTCCAACCAACTCTGTCCTGGGCTTCCCTCTCCAGTTCTGTCCAATGTTTGTTCATTCCTCTCATATCTTTCTCTATTTCTCGGCGTAGTGTGTTCCTTGGCCTTCCTCTTTTCCTTTTGCCTTGAGGGTTCCATGTGAGGGCTTGTCTTGTGACGCAGTTAGGTGCTTTTCGTAGTGTGTGTCCTATCCACTTCCACCGCTTCTTCCTGATTTCCTCCTCCACTGGAATCTGGTTTGTTCTCTCCCACAGTTCGTTGTTGCTGATGGTGTCTGGCCAACGAATACGAAGTATTTTGCGAAGAAAACTGTTAATAAACACTTGTATCTTCTGGATGATGGCTTTCGTAGTTCTCCAAGTTTCCGCTCCATACAGTAGAACTGTCTTCACATTTGTATTGAAAATCATGATTTTGGTTTTGTTTGAAAGTTGTTTGGAGTTCCAGATATTTTTCAACTGTAGAAATGCAGCCCTCGCTTTGCCAATCCGCGCCCTCACATCTGCGTCCGATCCACCTTTCTCGTCAATGATGCTGCCAAGATATGTGAAGGTGTTAACGTCCTCCAAGGTATCTCCATCAAGCGTGATTCGGTTGGTGCATGTTGTGTTGCATCGGAGAATTTTGCTTTTTCCTTTATGTATGTTGAGACCTAC